CTCAAAAACAGATAATGCAAGATATAGGTCATGTACCATAGAAATGTACATTAGAAACCTATATAATCTTATTAACCAATGTCACCCCAATTTAATCAAAAGCAGATCTAAATACACATAGAAAATCAATGTATGAATGAGGATGCCTTTTCAAATTAGTGTGTAAAAAAGTCAATAGCATTGCTCTGACTGGTGTGGCTCAGTTGACTGAGTGCAGGCCTACAAGGCAAGAGGTCACCAGTTTGATTCCCAGTCAGGGCACATGCCTGGGTTGCAGGCCAGGTCTCCAGTCAGGGTGGGGAACAAGAGGCAACCAATCCATGTATCTCTCACATATTGATGTTTCACTCCCTCTCTTTCTCCCTACCTTTCCCACTCTCTAAAAGTAAATAAAGTCTTTTTTAAAAAAAGTCAATAGTATTGGAATAACCAGATAGCTATTTGGGGGAGAAAAATGTTGAATCCTTACCTCATTTCTTCTACCTAAATAAATTCCAAATGAATCAAAGATTTAAAGGTTAAAAAATTAAAAGTATTGGAAAATACATTAAATTTATTTTTAAATGTAAAGAAGGCCTTTCTTAGCAAGGCACAAATCATAGAAGCTATAAAGACTGACAAGTTTAACTACACATATAAATCAATAAGTAAATCTCAGGAAAATATTATTAAATATATAACAATGAGGCGATTTTCATAGCTTACAAAGAGCACATATTAATCAATCATATAATAAAAAACAGAACATGACCACACAGTTCACAGAAAATGAAACCAATAAACATAAAACTGTGTTCCATCTCCTTCATTAAAATGCATTACAGCTCCATTAAACTGCAAGATACCATTTATTCACTTTCAGATGATCAAATTTTTTAAAATTTGGTACCCAGTATTGGCTTGGACCTCATAAATAATTATTCTTATACATTATATGTGGTAGTATAACTGGGCAAAGATTTCTAGAGAATAATTCATCAATAACTAATAAAATAAAAAATACCCTTTGACCCAGCAATTCTATTGCTAGTAATGAGCCCTGTCAGTATAATCTCATTATATGTACAAGTATATTCACTGCAATATGGTTTAGCAACAGAAAAATGTTTAAAATTTTATAACACATTCATACATTGGAATATCACAAATCATTAAATGAATGAGGTATTTCTGTATATACTGACACAGAAAGATAAGACAACAAAAAAGCAAGGTTCAGAAGAGTATAATACCATCTGATTCCATTAATGTTAACTTTTAAAAAGTTTGTATTTTTTGGCAAATAAGTTTTCCCTGAAAGAACATACAAGACACTTTAAGCTGATTTCCTTTGGAGAATGGTATTAGGAGCAGAAAAAAAGGGGCAAGTTTTCACTTCATTCCTTTCAGTACCATCTGATTTTTTTTTTGCTATGTTCATATATTATCTTTCTTTTTTCCTCTTTAAAGCATATTTGATTAGTAGGTTGTTTTGAGATATTCTTAGGTAGATACTGGTAATGCTATTTTTAAAAATACTGCAGATAAGTGCCAAGCTTTGCAAACCAGAACTCCCTTTTGGATTTTCATTAAACTTTAGATCTGCCCCCTAGTGCTTTAATAATGATATCCTGTTAAGTATGAAGTGACATTTTATAATGGCAGCTTGGCTACAGAACAAATTTGTGATGAGAGGATTAGACACCGCTTAGTACTCAAGGACCAAAATTCTTACACCCCAAAGGTCATTTAATTATTTACAAATATAAATAAGATTATATTATATTTTGACCCCAAAAAGCATAAAATTGCAGTAAGACCTTACACATACAATAAAAGTATCCATTGAATTTAGTAAACCAGCATCACACTGGAAAAAAAAGTCATAAAATTAACTCTTACATTTTTTCTGGGGATAGAGAAGCAGAAGGAAATGTAATTAAAAGTAAAAAGAAAACACTACCAAAAACAGGGGAAAGGTGAGAGAATCATTTATTTATTAGATAGGGCAGGTCATTAAAAGAGAGGAAACATTCAAAAGAATGTGCTTTGCTTGGTGTTACAGGCATTGATGCTCACAACAAACAACACTACTCAATGCATCATGGAAACAGGCCACATACAACCAGGAAGATGCTGCCACGCCACTGAAGAAGCTACGGTGCTAAGGAAACAATAGTTAGGGAGTTACAGAGCATCATAGTCTCCAATTCACAGATCCACATTTTCTGCAGCTGAGCCATTAGCCCATGGCATCTGGCTGGTTCCCTGATAATTAAGAGGTGAGATTTCCCATATTCTAGAGAGCTTTCAATAGTTCAGACTTTGAATGTCACTGAAATCATAGTCATCTACAAGCCCAGCTAGTTTGCATGACTACATTTTGGGGAATTATCCTAGATTGTCGTGGGCTAATAGTATTAGAAATGAAATTTTGAACTTAACCCATTTAGCAGTGTCACAATACATCCAATCAACTCTAGTCCTATGGCACAAACCTGGAAAAGACAGCAGAAATTCACTGGAGGAAATTAAAGAAATTTGGGAAGCTCACCTGGCCCAAGGTATATAAGCTGCTGCCAAAGTGAGACACACTTGAAAACTGCTATGTCAATTATCTGCCAACTTATTTGGCATCATTTTTAGCAGGACTTTCTTGATGAGGCAGGCTAAGATTTCAATATCCATTCTAGAGACTGGACAAAATATTAGTAGTAGTATATCATGAATAAATTGGTTATGAGGAAAAACTATTCAGCACAAGATTGACTAAGAAACCCTCCATCTTTACATCTACTGATTTTACCAACCACTTCCTTTCAGAGCAGTCACAGTTCTCAAGAAGAGTTGTGTATTTAATGATAAACTCTACATAAGACAAAACCCTACTTGGGAAGCCAATCACGAAAGACCGGATACTGTATGAATTCTTTTATATTAAATGACAAGAACAGGCAAGTCATAGACACAGAAAGTAGATTAGTGCTTGCTCGGGGCTGGGAGGCATGGGGAGGAAATGAGATATGACCACTAAAGGGTACAGGGGTTATCTTTAGGGTGATAACAGTGTTCTTTAATTCACTGTGGTTATGCTTGCACAACTTGTGACTCTGTTATAAATCCACTGAATTGCACCTTTTAAATGGGTGAATTGTAAGGTATGTGAATTATAGCTTTAAAAAGTTGTTATAAAAACATGTTAGGAAAGGAAGACAGCCTGAAGAGAGAAGAAAACAAGAAGCTGTTGCAAATCTAGCCATAGCTGAGGGAATGGTATAAAAGCCTGATTTAAATAACTGGTTTCTCACACACTATTTTGATTTTATTATCACCACATTTAACCCCTGACTTCACATTTTTAATTTATTTCTAAATTACTTTACATTATCAGAAGATTTTTAACGTTGCTCTCCTTGGAGAACAGAGTCAGTGTTCCACAGAAAGAGACTGGCAAAACAAAGCTAAACAAAACAACAATAAAAACCCAATGAAAAAAATAATCCCCTGCTTTGGGGTTGTGTATTACCAGACAGAATAGAAGAGCTGAGGTTCACTTCTAATGGAAAAAAAAAAAGCCATCAAAGGTAAGGGCATCATATGACCCTTGCCTAAAAGCACATTTTCTTTTCAAATCTGCATAGTTACTCCCTTTACATTTATACAATTCAACGTAAGCAATGTTTTCAGACCTGTAGATTTCAATAAAAGCAATGTTCTCTACACAGAAATGTTAAGCTTTCTGAAAATCAAAGAGCTAGCCAAATGTCCTTAAAACTAAAATTGCTGTTTCTAAAAAATTTCTACTCTGTATCCTCATTCTCATCTTCAGTAACATACCATGAAGATGGAAAACTCTAAGCCTGTTAGAAGTCAGAAGCTATGCAACAATTTCTTAAATGACCTCATTTAAAAAAAATAAAGATATTAGTTCCAAATATTTAGAACATATTGGGTCCAATTCTTTTGAAGTCTACTCTTAATGAGGAATTTATTTTTATTAATTCACTAGTATAGTTTGCAATAAAATAAAAGACTTCGAATAAGTTAAACTGGCTAATGACAAGTAATCAGTTTTCATCAGTGATTACTATTCTTCTACATAGGCAGGGTGATTCTACCACAAAGGGTCTTTTTTGTGTATCTTCAACTATTCTTAGACTACACAATCAATTAGGGAAACTTTTACAGTCAAATGAAGAGAACACAAGTAGCTTTACAGCAAGTTGATTTTGTTAAATACATTTGTTATGACAAAGAATTTCTGACACAAAAATTGCTCACTGCACACAGAACTCCAGAGAAATGATGAAACCGACAGCTGATGTTAGATGGTATATAGGAGTCAGGTGGGTGAGAAGTCATGGATAATTTAAAAACTGGCAAGTAGCTGCTGAAGCAGGGCCACTTCTTAGAGGGTATAAGAAAATCTGATGTCACCTTTCTATATATCTTTAGAGAAGTCCATTTGTTGTTAAGAAATGAAGACCACTTTACTATCATTCATTCTGCAAAGTGCAGTAGTCACACTGTTTCCAAAGGATCCTAGAAACTGAAGTGCAAAAGAAAAGAAATCTAATAAATAATTACAAAACAACATTTTTTCTCAAAGAAATATGTTCAAAACAGTGACTCTTACAGAAAACATAAATTTGTTTTAAAAGAAAAAAACTTTTCTCTATGAAAGATCAAAGACTCATTTCACAGATAACTTATACTGCATCAATAATTTCATGTTCAATGCAGTGCTATTTATAATAGCCAAGGTCTAGAAGCCGTCCAAGTGCCCATTAGGGGATAAGTGGATAGAAGAGCTGTGGGGCAGTTATACAATGGGATACTATACATCAGTAAAAAAGGAAATCTTACCTTTTGCAACTGCAAGAATGGACTTGGAGAGTATTACGCTAAGTGATATAAGCCAGTCAGAAAAGACCAGTACCATATGATTTCACTTATATGTGGAATCTGATGAATAAAATAAACTAACAAATAAACTAGAAACAGACTCATAGAGACAGAGAGCAGACCCACAGCTGTCAGAGGGGAGGGGGACTGGGGAGTTGGATGAAGTAGGTAAAGAGATTAAGCAAAAAAACAAACAAACAAAAAAACACCAACAACAAAGTCACAGACACAGACAACAGTAAGTATGGTGATTACTGGAGTGGAAAGAGGATGGGGGGAGGTAGAAGAGGGTAAATGGGGGGTAAATGGTGACAAAAGGGGACTTGACTTGGAGTGTTGAACACACGATATACAGATGATGTATCATAGAATTGTACACCTGAAACCTATATAATATTAACCGATATCACCCCCAATAAATTCAATTAAGAAAAATAAATAAATCTTGAAATTCTCCCCAAAATAATAATTTGATTACAGTGTACAAACAAGGGCCACAGACTTTTTAAAATTAGGTCTAAAAGATCATTATAAATACTGAGGGGGGAGTGTTTTATGCCCCAAACTCCAATATTCCAGCTCTGTGTCCTGTATTGTTGTTATGATCTGTAAAAATCTTAACGTCGCAGTGATTCAAGTTTTCGTAACTTCAATGATGTGTTAGAGGATAATGCATCTTGGTTTGAAGAATTTGTTGTATCTGAAGGCCGGAACAGTACTCTACCACGATGATTAAATACATAAAATGATGGATGATTCCTTAACGTGTCAAATGTCCTTCAAAGGAAAAAAAAGCATCAATTTTAGATAAACCCTTAAGAAAGCCTATTAGAAAATAAGCAGACTTCTGATGAATTATGAATTTGCTATGAATTATATTTTAAACTATATTTAAATCCATGAAATTAGACCATAAATGGTAATCATAGTGTATCTTATTTTTTCCTTTATAAGGAAAATAAGAAACATGGAAATGCAACATATAGCCTTAGCATTTTTCTTAATTCAGCCAGTCCTTCCAGTATGCCTATGAATAACACTGAACTGAACTTTAATCACTTCTGTAAATCTGAAATTAGCCCATACCAAATAGTCTGTTTTAAAAAACCAGTACAGAGATGGTACCTTTGATTGGTCTCATTTGGCCCTCACTATTCAAGCTGTATGATCATTTCACAGATCTGTTTTCTAAGAATCTTTCAAGTATAACAAAAAAAATCCATAAATTCCCTTGGCCCTTCTGTACCTGCTGTTTTCCAAACTCATATATTTTACTACCACCTACTAAATGCCATTCCCTTTCACTTTCTTCTTTCCTGACCCCTTGCCTGTGATTCTGAGTAGACTCTTTGTAAGAATAGTAGTGGGCAGGGATAGTGGAGTATCCTTGCTTCTTTTCCAGTGAGCGATATATGGTCTAAAAAAAAAGTTCACAAACACCTAAGTGTAGGGCTTGTAGCATTAGTTTGTTTTTAAATATTACTTTCCTGGAGGAAAAAGAATTCTGCCTTTGATAAAACTCAGATCTCAAAGTCAGCCCACCTAAAAATCCAAGCATATCCCCCCATACAAAACAGGAAGCCCGAGATGTGACTATTTAAAATATAAAGTAAAAAGTAAAAAGTAAAAAGAGGGTGAGTTTCCTCCGATTCATGTTTATTGTGAATCCTCCTAAGGAAATATTGTAAAGGGTTAAATTTTCTAGGATCAAGAAAGTGGGTAAAGTCCAGACATGGAATTGAGCAAAGCTAGAGGATGACTTTGTAAAAAGCAAAGTTCACAAAAATAGCTTAGAAGAAGTACAGGAGAAAAAAAAAAAAGAAAGCGGAACAAGAAATATACTTTAACCCAGGGATAGAAAAGGGCCTGAGAACAGAGTTTATGTCACAGACTAGATTCAAATGATAGAGGAAACATAAAGCCAGTCATTCTTTCAAAGACTAAGCGAGGACAGAAGAAAAAAGGAAGGGAGAGGGGAAGGAAGGAAAGAGAAGGAAGCAAAGAGAGGGAAGGAGGGAAAGAGGGAAGGAAGGAAAAAATTTCTGAGGGAATATCTTCCAATATATCTATTTCCATCTACCCATCCATCCAAACAACCAATAAGTAATTTTAAGCAACCATAATATAAATGTTATTCTAATGTCAATAATCAGTCATTCAATTTCCATTTTTCTATCATATCAAACACTGCCTCAATATTTTTACTTCATTATTCATATAGATTGTATAATCAAAATGTAAAAACTAACTTTTATGTAACAGAACACATACATTTAAAATTATGTAAATGAAACAAAACCCGTAAGAAATTAAATGCCTACGAAAAGGGGAAAACTTACTTATTTTTTAGTTCTGAGGTGGCATCCATGTCTCTAAACTCCCCTGCAATATGAACTATACCGTAACAGGTAACCGCAAAGGCCAGAAGTGTCTGAAGAACTATCTGTGAGTATAAAGATTAAGATTACTAAATGATATACAAATATTATTATAAAAACTTACAATTTTCTTTCCATCTCCTTTTAGCCTCTAACAGGCATTTCTCCAGATCCGATCAAGGAGTCAATTCTCAGTTTAAAGGATTTGGACCTAAACATACTAAAATCTATAAATTCTGTGGATTGCCTACAAAAATACTTGTGGGTTTTGCTTAAGTAGCAAAAACAGGTACTGAGCCATTCAAAACTGAGTTATCAACTACTATCAGCTTCCAAGAGAAACTAAAAATCTTAACGTACTATCGTTAAATATAGAGTATAAGAACCATACCTCTTACCCCCCACCCAGCTTAAGAAACAGAACATTACCAGCACCTTTCAAGTCCCATGTGTCCCTCTGGTATTTTTCACCCTCTCTCCCAAAGTTAACTATCGTCCCAAATTGTGTATTAATCATTTGCTTTTCTTTACAATTTTACCAACTATGCATGCACCTCTAAAACATACATTGCTTACTTTTCCATATTTTGAATTTTTGTGAGATTCATCCCTGTAGAAGTATATAGTTGTAGTCCATTTGTTTTCATTGTGTTTTGTATTCCATTACATGAAAAAACTACAATTCATCCATTCCACTTTTGATAGTATGGGGGCTTGTTTCCTGTGTGCTACTTTGCCTTACAATGTCAATATGGATATCCTTGTGTACTTCTCCTGGTGCATGGGAGGAGAAATCACTGGTGCAGGGTATGTGCATTCCACTTTATTAGGCAACACTAAACTGCTTTCCAAAGAAGTCGTCCAAGCAAAAACTTGCAAGCTTGACATTAATCGACATGGGATTACAGGCATATTTTTTCATTGTGATTGTCTCTATTTTTAAAATTTTCCAATTTGTAAACAGAAGGAAGTTATTTTAAATAGATGTACATGAATGTGTGTGTTTCTACCACAAAGCAATGATGATGGGAGAATGAGTTAATAGCCACATCTACCATACCCTTAATTATAGACAACCTAAAGTCAAAATTAGCCACAAGCTATTACTCTTCGTAAATTCAAATGTAATGTCATATGTTATACCAGTTTACATTCCTACCACCAGAGAACCAAGACCTACTTCACACAATGCAATCACAGGCACCATTAACAAAAAATGTGGTAAATCTATAAGTAGTCATGAAAATATCTCAAGGAAAATTAAGTAATAAAAATCTAATTATAAAACTATACAACAGATATATATATATACACATACATGTATAATAACTTTTAAAGAGAAAACCTCTGTGTTTTGATTAGGTAGAACTATACAGACATAAATAAAGATAATGTTTATGCACAGGAAGAAAACTGAACTACTGGTACACTCCAAATATCAGAATGGAAGTAGAATTGCTGAGCAGTGGGGTAATTTTTTTTTGTTTGGGGTCAGTTTACTTTTAACACTTACTGTTTGACTCTGTTACAAAGAACTTACTATTTTATACTTCAAAATCCAATAAAAATAAAATTGTGAGTGAAATTCACATATCATTTTAGCAAAAAAGAACAGGTCCTTGTTTTTCTTTAATTTTACCTCTTATGTATATGTCCCTAAACAATGTTTTGTTAATTTTGCTTGTTCTTAATATAAAAAGGAACTTTTCCAAAAAATGAAGTCAAATAATCAGATGCACTTAAAAAGTGCATCTCAAACTATGGAAGAGCAACTTCTAGGAAGGCTATTTAAACTACAGTTCTAGAAACCAAACAGAAATATGTTGTCTACAAATGTTTGGGTTTTACAGTGAGTGACAAAAAGTAAAGAGGAGAACAGATGTAATTTTATGTGTAAAAATTTAAGAGAATAAAAACCAGTAAAATATTATTATAAAGTATATGGCTAATTTTTAAAATATATGTTAATAGAATATAAATAACCAACTTACATCTATTGGCAGTGATTCATCTTCCTTTTCTGTTAATCGCATATAAGAACGATCTATAAACCAGAAGCATACCATTAAGGAAACTGTAGCTCATTTTTCTTCCTTAAAATGCAAGCAGATCAATATACCAAAGAAGCAGCTGACTTAAATGCTACATAAAATAATGCTAATCCTGGGTTCCTCAAAAACCTGTACCTTCTAAGGCAGTCAGCCTGATCTTGAACTATTTTATTCTTACTTTGGCACCTTATAAAAAAGGATAAAAGTAAAAGGTGAGCAAGTATAAGGAAGAAATACCTATACATAATTTTTCTTTCATTACTACAGGAACACTAGAATCCTCTGAAATGAATCATTTCTTTCACTAACTGGTCAAAGAGCTCACAACTATTTAAAAATTAATATGCCTACAGAAAATCACTACTCTGAAATAGCACCATCATTACATAGAATTGGTATGGAAATGTGTTTTCCTGAGAGAATGTGCTAGGGCATTGGTGGGACAGGAAAAACTCTAGGACATCAATTTCTGCCTCTGTGATTAAATTAAAATTATTCTGTTGCATTAGCCTCAGGAAACAACACGGTAGGAAACATTCAGGATTTGGCAGCTGATAAGCCTGGATCATAAAACCAGCTCTTCAACTTATTGTAACCCTGATGCTATCTCATTCAACGTAAGACACTCTTGTGTAACACCTCAATTTCAGTGTTTAAATAGAGATGTTGGAGGGTGAGCGTGTCTTAGACCCAAAGGAATATGGTACCTATCTTTTCACTGCCTAAGTTACTGCAACATTAAGATGGGAATAATGTGAGGATTAAATGAGATATGTAATAGGCTCTCTGCCATAACAAAGTTCATTATGGCAAAGATGAGCATGCCATGGCACCACAGGATGCTATCTGCTGCCATAATCTGACATGACACAAGTAGCTTCAAAGGTAAATATTCATTTATTTCCCCCATGAACATTATAAAGAGGTCCCGCCACAGAGACAAGTGCCACAAGTCATTTTTATCTCACTGGGAACATAAAAACACAAAATCCTAATTCTAGGTGAACCTTGCACAATCCTTATCCAGTAACATATTGTGAACTAAAAAAGCCAAATTGTTGTGAGTAAACATGTATTGACTCTTAAAAGATAACCTGTTTAAAGATATTTCTGGAGTTTTTTCTTACAGGGTTTATCATAAGGACAAATGTAAACGAAAAATCAAAGCAATACCAAAAACAGGTTTTGCCTAACTTCCTACCCTCTGTTCAGATCCCAGCTAGCTTTCTTCTTTGCCTGAAGTCTAATCTGACTCTTCAATTCTACCTTTAACCAGGCATTTCCCCATCTATAGAACTAAAGGTAGGACTTTAATGATCTTGCTCTAAGACCTTAAAATTTTACAGCTGAAGCCTATGGTAGAAAATGCTACAATGCCCCAGAGTCCCACCTTCCCTTAGAGCAGTGCTTCTCAAAGGAATGTACACACAAATCACCTGGGGATCCGACTGAAATGCAGATTCAGATTCAATAGATCTGGAGCAGGCATTTCTAACAAGCTCCCAAGTGATTACAACCATGCTGGTCTGCTGACCTTACAGCCTTGAGGCTGTAGGTCTGCCCCTATCTCCATGTGTCTTTACATACTTTTAGCATGGCACTTATGTCATTCTACTGTGATTATTTCTTGATCTATTTGTTTTTCCTCTTGCCATTGGACTCCCTCAGGGCATCACTAACCCTACCTCCAGCACCTACGCACAGTGCAATTTCAACCAATTCCCCAAGACCGAATTTCATAAAGCAGTGTAGCACATAGGCTCTAGACTCAAACTCCTTGTCTTTAAATCCTGGCCCCACCATTTCTCATCTCTGTACTTTCGAGCAAATGTCCTAGTTGTGTGTCTCAATTTCTTCGTGTTTCAAAGACAATAGTAACAAAACAGCTACCTCCAGGGCTTCTAGTAGGACTGAATTATATAATACAAGTAAAGTGCTTAGTTTAGTCCCTGGCATTTGGTAAGCACTTCATAATGGTAATTACTATTATTATTAAAGCCTGGAGCACAGAACAGAGGAGACTAGGAAAACATGACAACTACATGTAATGTGACACACTGGACCGATTCCTAGAACAGAAAGAAGACATTAATGAAAAAGCTGGTGAGATCCGAATAAAAGCTAAACTTCAGTTAACAGTAATATACCAACGTCAGTTTCTCAGTTGTGACAATAAACCATGGTGATATCAGATATTATCAATGGCGGATGCTTGGGTGAGGGTTATACAGTCACTTTCTGCAGTACCTCTGCAACTTTTCTGTAAACCTAAAATTTCTAAATAAAAACTTATTTAAAAAATAAGTTGTATTTCCTTCGGACATTGTCATAATGCATATACATGATAAGCAGTTACAATAATTGGATACTTTTAATTATATATAATAAACAATAAAAGGTTTTAACTTGAAAAAAAATTGGAGCTTTGAAGGAATTCAAATCTCATTTTCTACTTTATTCCTAAAGAAGGAAAGTAATCCACCAAATAAAAGAATAAAATTCAAGTTTGGATTCAGTTCCTTCCTTCATTCAACAGATTAAGTACCTACTGTGAGGAAAATTGTACTAGGCTCTAAGATTACAACAATGAACAAAAAATATACATTGTCCCTGTCCTCATAGGCTCTATGGCTTGGACAGTGGTCAGCCAACTTTATCTGTAAAGGGCCAGATAATAAATATTTTGGGCTTTGTAGGCCATTCTGTTTCTATTTCAAACTCAACTCTGCCCTTAGAAAGCATCCAGACAATACCTAAATGAATGTGCATGGCTGTGTGCCAATTCAACTTCGTTGATGAACACTGGAACTTTGATTTTATGTAACTGTCATGGGTTATAAAATGATATTCTTTTGCCTTTCCCCCCAACAAATTAAACATGTTCAAACGTTCTCAGCTCACTACGAAAACGGAAGGGAGGCTGCATTTGGCCCACTTGCTAGAGCCTGCTGACCCTTAGTCTAGGAGAGAAGACGTCAAAACAAATCAGCTGTCTCAAGACTGCACTGCATCCTCTGCTGGGCTCCAACTTTCTTCTTAACAATACAATTTTATCTGTATGGTAAAGTCCTTCTACTTTTTTTTTTTCATTTAAACTTTGTGTCACTCTATGTGATATGACTTACCCGAGGTCACAGATTTAATGGCAAAGCAAGTTAAGAACCTGACTTCGTGACTCCCAGTCCAAAGCTCTTTCCCTTGTATCAGTCCCTACCTGAGGCAAATGGTCACATAACTTCTCAGTCACTGCCTAGACAGCTCAGGAGTGCCCAAGGCGCTGTCCACCTAGTTATCATGGGACCATGGGCATCCGAGGCTCTCAATCTGACACTTTGCCTTATCAGCCCCGCGCTGGATCTGTCATCACTTGTCCTGGATTCCCAGATAGACTCCCTCTTCGCCCACCATGCAGTGTGTCTGTCCCGCTCTGAGCCCTCTATCAGATACCCGCTTCTAACGCTGCTTCAACGTTTCACTGGGCAGCCCCGAACCGCTTCTCGTAGTCACTGCAAACTCTTAAGGTCTCTAAAGACCTTTCCCGGGACCCTCAGTCTGACACTCCCTCTGCGGTGCGCCCACACACCGCCCCCGAATTCCTGCAACAGAGCGGTCCGGGTCCCACAGGCACTTACGCTGAGCAGCGGAAAATGCCGCGTGGGCTAGGGCAAAGAGGCCAATGCCCACCAGCCCCTTCCACAGTGACAGCGCCATTATTCCGAATGAGCAGCAGCCCAACGAAAGCAGTGAAGGGCAGGGAAGCAGTTCCCTCTTCCAACAGCGGTATCCACGCAGCGCAGGAAGATGACGTCACTGGATCACTGGGCGCGAAAAGCCTTTACAGTGGTGGCAAAACCGAAGAACCTTTAGAAAGCGGAAACAGGAATGCTGGGAAGGAGGGGGAAACACGCGGGGGGGGGGGGAAAGTCCGCGAGTGCCTGTGAGAGCTGGCTCACTACTGCCTCTCTGCGAGGGGTGGAGCGGACGGGGGGGGGGGAGAGGGGCGTAAAAGAAGAGGCATAAGTGGACCAATGGGGAAACGGAGAGGAAAGGCTTCAGCAAATGACTTGCGGCAAGGGGCGGGGCCTGTGGACAGGCCAGGGTGTGGCAGTGGGGCGGGGGTTGAAGGTGGTGGTTGAAGTCCTTTGGTGCGGGGTTCTGTCTCTGCAAGGGGATTTTCATTTTGTTAATTTGGTTTGTTTGTTTGTTGTTTTTCCCTCAAGCTGTGCCCTTTATTTTGTGTTGGCTTTTACTACGTTTCAGCCTTTTGGGGACCAGCACTTCGGGAGGAGGCAAGAGTGTGAAAGCGAGGAGGCAGGTGGGGTGCAAAGGAAAGCAGCCAGTGTATTTTCAGACCCAAACACGTTTCAAGCTCAGGGGGATGCTCAACAAAAGTTAGTTCCCTTCTCTTTACCTTCAGATGGTCTTTAAGCAGGATTCACGCTCAAAGGGGTGTAGCACGGAGGGAGTGTTTTATCATGAAGAGAACCAGTTTGCATTAGGGAGAAATGAAAGGGGATAAATATAAGGATGCTAACAAAGCAGGCCCATCTTGCCTCTGTCCCCATCTGTCTCTGTGATTAGAATAAATTGTACTCTTCTTTCACGATTTTTCTTTGTCTTTATCCCCTAAAATGTTTGACATTCAATAGTAATTACGGTTCTCCCCTTTACCTATTTTCACTCTGCTCTTCTTTGGCTAGCTCACATATTCGTGTCCACCGCTGCAGCCATTGTCGATATTACAGTGATTCCCAATTGACATCTCTCTCAAATGTATCTCCTCAGCTCCAGACCTGCATTTCTGACTACCTGTTGGTCATTTATTTTTATCCTCTGGCACTTCAAACTTAATATGGCCAGAACCGAATTCATCCTTTTTCCCCAAACTCTGCACCAATTTATCCAGTGCCCCCTGAGTGTTGTAAAATGCATATCACAAGGTAAATGCATAGTATGGTCAACATTATTTTCCCTGCTGCATCAGTTTTCTCACTCTCCTGTGCTTGAAGATGTATCCTGACCACCTCTTTTAAATTTGCAATCTTCCCTTCCAATCCCCTTAGCCTGTTCCATTTTTATCACCTAATATGCTCTATAATTTACCTATTTGTTACATTTGTTGTGTTACTATTGTGTACTGTCTCTCTTACCCCACTGTAATGTAAGTTCCAAGAGGACAGAGATTTCTGTCTATGTCTAAAACATTGCCTGTCACATGGTAGACATTCAAATAAATATTTGCTAAATGAATTAATAAAGTATGGGAAAGAATGGGGGACGAATATGCCCTTATTTGAAAAATTCTTTATCGAGAATCCTTCGATTAATTCAAATTGGTTTCAAAAGCCTCTGTGGACTTATATGCTGTCTTAAATTTGATAACCCTTTCACCGATGATAAACATTTTCTAATATACTTGAGCTTCATCAAAGATGGAAAAATGAAAATAAAAGGCCTCCAAAAATTATCAGATTTCCTGAACTTTATATAGTTTTTGTCCTGGATCTCATTTTCCAAGCCTTTAATTATGGTCATTATTTGTCTCTGGGAATTCTCCAATTTCTTCACCTCTAAGCCAAGCTTTGAAACAGTACTTGCTCAATGTCAAGTACAGTATAATGTATTCCTTACAAATGTAGTTCTATTTATAAATCTCACATCAAGGAGAACCAGGAAATAATCTCTCCTTACCAGACAGGAAAGTACTTCCTTCTCCACCCCGGGAGGTTACAATATAGAAAAGATAGTTGCCAAAAAACTATTAAAAATTTTTTTGGCTTTGACAATAGTCAAATCAAAATTAGCCTTTTCAGATACCCTATTAAATGACCTTTTCTAATGTTAATTTATCTGAAGCAGAAAATGAACCAGCAACCTCTCAGTTATGGGGAGACACTCCAACCTACTGAGGCACACTGACCAGGGCTGGAGTGAGATTTTAATTGTCTTATCTGTGGACTCCAACCTGAAGGGCAAGCCAAAGTATTGTATTCATTGTCACAGTTACCACAGACTGTGTTATTCAAATAAGTACCTTGGGTCCACTCATAAACTGGTAAAAGTTAATCCCAAAGGTGCAAGGTACATTTACTGGCAGCACTGTTTTCATGGGTTCTTAGAACAAGAGTCACACCTCATGATAAAGAGCATTTAAATTTTCTGTGACTCCAGAAGTTCCTTTAGTTTTCCCAAAGAAACAGGCATTTTTCCATATACACAGTGGATAAGTGATATGAATGTTAGTAAAGGTAAGGATAATGATATTTAAAGTGTTTCCTACCCAGATGTTATTTATGAAGACTCATCTAATTTCCCTAGCAGAGTCATTGAATAGAAAAACCACTGCAATTCTAGAATTGTCTTCAAGTTAATTAACTTTGTTTGCATACCACCCAACTAGACCAGGAATTCCGTACACCACTCAACCATGTCTCCATTTCTCACACATATTCTCCCCTCCATCTAGCACACTCTGTCCTTTCCTAAGTGGTTAAAAACTCCACTTTCTCTAGGAATACATTCCTGACTATGATAGGTATCTATAAAAGGTTTGTATCTATTGTGGGTACTAAATCTTTCTTCAAGCTAGTTATGTTTATTACAACCTTCCTGGGTAACAAATTCTGGAAGTTTACTATCTTCTGGGTAAACTAGGATTTTCAATATTTATATTGAAATCGCATCCAGTTAATATTTTTCTTTACAAAAGTGATGTGTGCTCAGTGTAAAAAATTCAAATGACAATACAATCTATTCCTCTTAAAGCATTAAGTGGTGTGTTGGTATTTCAAGTTTTGAATCTTAGTAAACAAAACTGGTTACTTGATTCATATCTTTTTTCTTTCTTTCTTTTTTATTGTTGTTCAATTACAGTTGCCCCCATTTTCCCCATTACTCTCCCCTGCCCTATCTACCCCCACCTCCCACATTCAATCCTCCCCCCTCCATGATTCATATCTTTAAGATTTGTTTGTTGGAAGATCCATAGTTAACAATATGCTCTAGAATCAGATTGGGTTTGAATCCTAGCTTCTCCTTTACTACCTCTGAGAGACTGAACAAGTTACTTAACTTCACTGTGCCTCAGTTTCCACATTTGTAACGTGGAGATAAGAACAGTACTTACCTGCTAAAATCATTGTCTGGATTGTGATGACACATGTGAACTATTTAGAATAATCTCACACATAGTGAGCACTCAATAAATGTTACCCATCATTATCATTGCTGTTGTTGCTGCTGTTGACTCTTCTAGCTGTTTTTCCAGACTGAAGAGTTTCTTTATCCCTTTAGTCTTTCTTAAAACATTGGTTGCTTTTTCGCTTAGATTATTTTAATTGCTCTCCTCTGGACCATTTCCAGATTTACAAATATCTCTCTTGGGGTTTCATTACCACACCTGTAGAAAGTATCCTAGGTTACTTGTCTGAGGTTGATATGATTATTCATTTCAAAAAACCTTGATACCAAAAATGGCACAGAACATATTATTTGCTGGGTTTTTTTTAGTGCATTGGGTTGCTCTGTTTAGTAAATAAACTGAAAACTCCAGCATAATTACACTGGGTTCTGATAGTTATGACCTAGACTTTGTTCTATTTCTTGAATATAGGCATTCCCTATACTACTGCCCTTCTATTTCTATCCCTCTTCTTTGGGAGAGGGCTGTCAGGGTAAATCCTAAAATAGGAAGGAAGGAGGTGATGATGGAATGCAGAGTACAGACTGAGGCATAAGTTTCATAAGGGAATAGGAAACACATCTTACACCGAGGATAGAGGGGAGGAAGAAATGTTAGACACTGATGGGATATTTAAGTAGGTTGCAGGGTAAGGAAGGAGACAATTTTCTTGAGGATCTTGTTTTTCCCAGTGAAAAAGGAGGCAAGGTTTGAGTTCCAGGTGACTTGTTTGCGTGGGAATGGAAGTCACCCAGGATGATGGCAGAGCTAGGATGGGGGGAGCCGGAGGAAAAGAGGAAGGTGTGAACCAGATACACAAGTCCTCCATGAATGTGTAGGAGTGGTCAGGAAGTCATTAGATGACAGCAATAAGAACAGAAGAGGTTGTTCAAGCTTCAGTGAAGGGTGGATGAGTAATCAACTTGGAAAAACAATGTGGAGTAAGTGGAGTGACAACTCTTCCTTCAGGCCACAGGATACAGGGTGTGAGTTCTGTGTGTTTGTGTATGTGTGTGGGGGACAGTGGAGTAGTGAGGAAATGAGCAGCCTCCAACTGAAACAGCTTCAGAGCATGTGATGCCCCAGGCAAAACTCAGGTACTAGTAAAAGGAGAAGATGGAGGTAGCATCCATGCAGCAACTGAGAGAGTCAGGTAGTTTGTTCATAATGGAGGGCATTCCAGGTAGCACACAACAAGGACTGGCAGGGAGGAAAGTAGTGAGAGGAGAACCTGGGGGGTGAGAGTCAGTAGCATGAAGCAGTGTTGGGTAGAGAGAGAAGTATATTCAGAGGGGAGATGAAGGTTCACGGGGATTGGCCTACTTGGAAGAATTATTGTCATCTCAAGATTCCTCCTGGCACTCTCATGTAAAGAGGTTGCTGGGTGTGAGGATGTGCATACTAAGTTACTTGGGTCATATAAACAGGGATAGATTCTGGGACCTGAATACTTTCTAACTGTGGTCAGGCAAGCAATATGTGACTGTTTTTTGCAAGTTCCAAACAGTAGGATGAAAAGTGGTTTTGTGCTGAGGCAAAACAATCTTGAATTGGGTGGTTAGGTCTGAAGCAGCAGGTGTACTCCTTCACTAGTCTTCTGGGTGACTGTGATAGGTCTGGGTAGGAGGCAGTAGGAGACAGAAGGATCCT